TAATACCATTTTTTTCTTCAAAAGCTTATCATCCAGAAAAATATATATCATGTCCAAATACATAATATGTGAATTAGGATAACCGAAGGAGACCTTAGTAATTTGGGGGGTCTTGCTTGTAATAAACCTTATTATTCATGTTTGATTTATTCACATGTTCATATTTTCTGTACCATGTGACAATGCAAGTATATGTGGAAAATATGGCGCAGACAAACCCATGAAGAGAAGCACATGGCAGAATCCCACATGTGCACAAACATGCAAAAGTAGGAAATGTGTTACAGCAGGGAAATGGAACATGGCTAATTTTTAATTTGAAAATTAAAATAATTTAGGTATCAGAATATACATTTATGTCCCATATTATTTATTTCTGTGCCTCAAAACTATTTCAGGGATTTAAAATGAAGAAAAATGTGATATGGGTATTTAAATGAAGATGAATGCTCTTTGTTGGTACATTTTATTCAAAACTATAAGTGTATAATATTAGAAAAAATTAATATTTCTGTCTTCAGTAAATCTACTACTAGAAACAGTTTGCTCATAGGATTATTTTTCCAAAGCAGAAAGGCCAGAGTACAAGAAAATGTGACCAAACAATAATAAGAAAAATTTTCAATTTTTCCTCATATGACTACTTTATCTTACATTTTGTAAATGCGTAACAATAATTACAGATATGTCATCTTTCTTGAGACATTACTTTTTTACACAAATCAATTTACAAGTTTACAAAGTTTAGAACCCTATACTGGTTAATAAACTACTATACAAAATACTTTTGAACTACTATTGAAATGCTTTATGAAAACATTAATAATAAAACACTGATTAATAATAATGTTATTCATTTTTCTCATGGCAAATATTATGAAAAGGCTAATGCCACTCATTCATGGATGCTTCAGTATTAGATGAGCTCCACCATGTCTAACCCCTCAGTCACTCTACTTCATGTCTAACCCCTACTCAGTCACTCTACTTCATCCACACTGAGTTCTTTGCTTTTCCTGGACAAATGCAAGCATGTTCCTGCCCCAGGATCTCTGTACTTGCTGCTACCCATGCTCAGAAATCTCCCTCTCTTCCTGCAGGTCTTTGCTTAAATGCTACCACATTATACTGAACCTACCCCACAATGGGCACTATTCTTTCCTTGCACTCGTTGCTTTAGTCTTCATAATTCTGATCAGTACTCAGCTATTAAACTATTATCATCATTTATTTATTTCCCTACTGGTAGCATACACTACACAAGAGGAGTCACTTTGTCATCTTAACTAACAATTTCATTTCCAATACATAAATTACTGCCTGGTTTATGCTAATTTCTGGATAAATATTTGTTAAATTAATGAATGAATTAATTAAAATTTGAGTAAGCAGTTAACATATTTTAACCACCTCTAGTTATAGTAGTTCATTACTCATTATAGACTTCTCTAAAAAAGAGTTTTAGAGCATTTTATGAGACATGGTTAGGGTTTTTTTCCCCTATATTCTTCCTCACTATTAGTATTTCCCACTTTTAGACAAATTAATTTTTCAGAAACCACACAATCAAATGGATTATATCAAACTATCTTAATTCATTTTCACTAGTATTCCTCACTTCGGGAAAAATAACCCATGAAATAAATTTTATTTAGTAAATTGTAAAAAAAAAAAAACCAAAGTGAAAGTGAAACTATGACATGGGTTAACAAAATTATATAGGTTTCAGGGATACAATTCAATTTTAAAAAATGAGACTATGGTAAGTTTTTCACCTAGTTCACTTTGCAGAATACCTTCATAAATAGTGATGATTAATTTAATGCCAATGATTCTAAACAGGCAGGTTCTGTGTACCTCTCACCCAGTTCCCTCTTTGGCTAATATCTTACTTTATCTTTACTATATTACACTTGTCCAAACTAACAAACCAACACTGATACATTACTATTATGTAAAACTTCAAGGATTTATTCAGATTATTATTTTCGAATTAAGGTCATTTTGCTCCTGCACAAATCCATTGTGGGATGCAAAACTATACATATTTGTTGTGTTTCTTTAGTTTTCTCTGATCCATAACAATTTCTCAGTCTTTTCTTATTTTTCATTACCTTCATAGGTATTTTGTAGAGGCTTTTCAACTTATGTTTATCTGATTTTTTTGTCATTGTAATGCAGGGGTTATAGGTTCTGACAAAGAATAATAAGTGACCTTCTCATCATGTCCTATCAGGGGATACATCTTACCAACATAACTTGTCATTAGGAATTTTACTTTGATCAGTTAATAAGATGATCACTTAAATTTTGCCAGATTCTTCAATGTAATGTTACCTTTTTTCCCTACACACTCTACACTTTAGAAGCAAGTCACCAGATTCAGTGCACTCTCAAGGTGGAAGAGACTACATTCCACCTCCCACCAGAGAGCTATGTAGATTATTCAAAATTTCACTATTAGCATGAACTCAGACAACAGTTTGGTGACTGCAGGGTTAGGGAGAGATTGGTGGAGGTGGAAGAGAGTATAAGGAGAATAAATAATAATGCAAAATGCAATAAAAATAAAGTATCAAAATATTTTGTTATTAGGGAAATATAAATCAAAACTACAATGAGATACCACCTCACATCTTTTAGAATGGCTATTATCAATAAGACAGGTAATAACAAGGGTTGGGGAAGTTATGAAGAAAAGGGAACACTCATTCACTGCTGGTGGGAACATTAACTGGTACAGCCACTATGGAGAACAGTATGGAGGGTCCTCAAAAATTTAAGAATAGAGTTACCACAGGATCCAGCAACCCCTCATCTGAGTATTTACCCCCCAAATTGAAAACACTTATTTGCAAAGATATAGGCACCCCTATGTTCCTCGCAGTACTATTATGGTGAGCAAAACATACAAGCAACTGAAGTGTCCTTTGATAGATGGATGGAGAAAGAAGATATTGTGCACATACACAATGGAGTACTGCTCACTCAAAGAAAAGATGAAATACTGCGTTTTAGAACATTGTGGATGGTCCTTGAGAGTATCGTGCTAAGTGAGATAATTCAGTCAGGAAAAGCTAAGAACCATGTGATATGACTCATATGTGGGACATAAAGTTGAAACTCTGACACTGACAACAGTATTATGGTTATCAGAGGGAATGGGTGTGGGGAGTAGTAAAAGGTAGAGGGAGCCAAACCTGTGTTGATGGAAGATGATTTGACTTTGGATGGTGGGCACACAGTACAATATACAGATTATGTACCATAGAGATGTACACTTGAAACCTATGTGATATATTAGCCAATGTCAGCCCAATAAATTTATAAAAATAAAAACTAAAATCTCTCTGTAAGGAAAAATTGTTTGTTTATATTAGGAGAACCTAAACCAAGATGGTGGAAGAAAGTGTCAAGAATCCTAACCATTGATATCTGCATGGAGCATGGTAACAGACACAGAGGAGTCAGAGGTCAAGTCTACTTGGACAATCAGAAAAGGTTTCATGAAAGAAAGTATCATTGAAATGAGGATTAAAAAATGATCACAAATGCTTTAGGCAGATGGTGTCAAAGGAAATAGTAGAAGGAAGCTTTCAAGAGTCATAGAACAGTCACTTTCAAAGGGATGGATTCTGAAAAAAGTAATGACATTTAAACATTTTCTCTCAGTGAATGAATACTTAACCTTATGAGAACTGAATAGTATCATTATTACTCTTTTAAACCTCTAATTTTAAAATTGTGCATTTAACCAACTTATACATTGAGTTCTTACAACACATTAAGCCTTGGAAATGCAATGGAGAAACAATACTGACAAAATCTTATCCTCATAGAGTTTAAAACTTTATGAGAGAGAGACAAGAAAACAACTATATGCAGTAATAATTTTAAAATGTTATTAATGCCATAAAACGATCAGGGATTTGCAATAGATACTAACAGAGGAGAGAGATGCGTAGACTAAGTATGTAGCACTGAAAATGAAGAAGAAGAGCACTCTAATGATACAATGCATGCTCATAAAATTGAAATGAAATGCTGGGGAATAGGATGCAGTGAGTAAGGAAAAGGGAGAGTTCAAGAACGATTCCACATCACTGGGTTAGTGTTGCTGTCACTTAGTGTTGCTGTAGTTACTGGTAAAACAACCACAGAAGGAGAAACATGTTTAAAGGCAAAAAAAAAAAAAAGTGAGAGTTCTATGGGACTTGAGAATCTTCTGAAATAGAAAGGTAGAGACATGAAAGTAGATATCATTAAGTAGCTGGTTTTCAGCAGAGAAATCTGGATGCCATGCATTTGACACATTAATCAAATGTTATTGAGTATCTACTATGGCAAGCCCTGTTCTAGGATTTGTGGATAGAAAAATGTTGAGAATCCATATTTTCTCTTATCTTAAGTTAAAGAGGGAAGAAATTAATAATAAAATAAATAAATATATACAGTAAGTCAGATGGTAATGAGTTTAAAGAAGAAAAAATTAGCATCCCTTTTTAAAAGACTCTAAAATGAAAGTAATTGAATATATTTCACAAGTCACAGTGATAATAAAGAATAGATAGCTCTATAACCTCAATTTGATTTAATAATAATATACCAGCAAAGGTGGAGTTGTATTATAGGAATCAGGCTACCTGGGTCCTATTCATAAGTTTCCACTCCATGGGTATGTGGGTTTCATGAGTTTCTCATAAATGATGCTTGTGTATGCATATACTTACATATACATGTCAGTGTACATGTTCATGTGGGGGTGTGAGTGAACACATTTATTAAAAAGAATTTTAAAAAGAAGAATGATATATTCATGGATGATTTTTCTTAACCTATTATTCCTATGTGTTGTATTTTTAATACTTTTGCTTTGTAGACTTAATTAATAGCTTGAGAAATTATTACAAGGAATTAGGAATTTTGTAGCTAGACAGGTAAATATTTTCCTTAGATAGATATGAGCCATATGAAACTGTCTTACTGCTGATTCTATATAATTAAAATATGAATCTTAAAGAAGGCTGTGCCTTTCCTACGGCCTTTTTAAAGGCACTCTTGACCTCTTTGTTCCTCAGACTGTAGACCAGCGGGTTCAGCATGGGGATAACCATCGTATAAAACACAGATGCAATTTTGTCTGTGTGCATGGAATGGCTGGAGCTGGGCTGTAAGTACATGAAGGTGCCTGTCCCGTAAAAGATGGAGACTGCAGTTAGATGGGAAGCACATGTAGAAAATGCTTTTTGACGTCCCTCCGATGAATGCATCCTCATGATGGTGACAAATATAAACAAGTAAGAAATCAAAATGACCAGGACAGAAAAGAGGTCATTGAAACCCACCACCAAAAAAATAACCATCTCAGTGACGTAGTTGTCTGAGCACGAGAGAGCCAAGAGAGGAGGAGCATCACAGAAAAAGTGGTCAACCACATTGGACCTACAGAAAGAGAGCCTGAAAATGTTCCCTGTGTGGATGGAGGCATTCAGGAAGCCACAGACATAGGAGCCTATGACCAGATGCACACACACACCTGTTGTCATGGTGGTGGTGTAATGGAGAGGTTTGCACACTGCTGCGTAGCGGTCGTAAGCCATGGAGGCCAAAAGAAAATTTTCTACAGTGATAAAAGCTACAAAGAAGAAGAACTGGGTGGCACAAGCATTGTAGGGGATGATTTTCTCTCCTGTGAGGAACCCTGCCATCACTTTGGGAGTGACAGCTGAGGAGTAGCCAAAGTCCACCAGGGAGAGGTTACTGAGGAAGAAGTACATGGGAGTGTGAAGACGAGGATCCAGCAGTATCAACATGATGATCCCCAGGTTCCCAAGCAGAGTGATGAGGTAGATGAGGAAGAAGACTATGAACAGGGGGACCTGCAGTCCAAGGTCATCTGTTAACCCCACAAGAATGAACTCGGTCACCTCAGTAGTGTTTTCCATGGGGATCAACTGGGAGTTAGGCAGCTGCCTCCTAGCAAGAAGAAAACAGAATCAGAGTGACACATGGAGGGAAGACTCTGCTGACATGGACCAGCACGTCCGCTCTGTGTCTCTTCTCACTGTTGCAGAGTCTGTAGATCTACCACACGGCTGAGACCATGACATGCAGCGGTAAATTATTGATAGATCACAGACTATCCAGATAAAAGGGCTCAGAGATAATACATTTTAATCTCCTAACTTCATAGAAGAGTGAATTAAGATAAAGGGGAGGAAAGGAAGGATGTCTGCAAAATTTACCTGATTAGTTGCTCATGGAAGGAGGGCAGACTCCCAATTCAAAATAAGTTGTAGGAACAACTACAAATTATTTTTATATTAAAGTTGATAGCTTAACAAAATTAATGTGAAGTTGAATTAATTTTACTTCAACTGGCTTTTTGTGTCTTTTCCATTGTGTCAAGAACAGTGGTACATGATAGGGACAGATAGTTAAATAAAACATGGCCTTGGCCTAAAATGCCCTCGGTATAGTGCAGTACAGAGAATGTGTAATTTACCAAATAATAAGAAAACAGTAGAAATTCAAGTACAAAGAATAAAAGCATCTAGAAAATAATAGGTTTTGCCTTTTATTACATTAGTACAGTTTTAAACTTTTGCATTCAGATGTCCCTGATCTGGAGCCATGTTTAACTTGTGTTCAAATATGAAAATCCCACTCCTGCCATGTACAGAATCAATGAACTTGGGTAATGTGCAACATTTTCCCTATCAAACTGGGTTGATCATGTCAACTGGAGCTAGGTTGTTAGATATTACGGCTTGGACAGAAGGCTTGGTCTACCTGGTATTTGAGGGGTGTGTAATATAAGATGGAGCTTCCAGATAAGGGTGAAATCAAAGATTTGCTATCTGCTTATGCTATTTGCTTTTCTCTCAAACACCTTCCCCTTTCCTGTCCTTTATAGGCCCTCCTCCAACTTTTCACTCCAGGTTTCTGTACATGTGAGTGGCCATTCCAGCCGTGTCAATTAAGAACACATTTATTTTCTGAGTCACCTTGTGTATTAACTAATGTGTTAATATTAAACCTCAGTTTCCCCCAAATAAAACTAATAATAATACTGCCTGTCACTTAATAAGCATTCAATAAATATATTCGTTCTTGGAAAGCTCGAAGTGTAGGTGAGTTTTTCTTTTGTTCCATTACACTACCATTCTCAGAACCTGATAAACCTTGGATTCAGTCATCACAGATAAAAACAACACCAATTTTTATACATTATTACTGATGTTATAAACAACATAAGGAAATTTTTTGAAGCCTACACAAAAGCCTATTATGGAATCTCCACTTCTTTAAATCAGGAGTCTTTTCAAAATGAAACCTAATAATTTTATCTACTTTAAAATTTTAGCTAAGTAGTTTAGAGATCAAAAACCCTTAAAATGTTAATTTTACAGCAGTAATTAGATATTTGACCCCATGATACATTTTATTTAAAAATTCTTGTTGAGTGACCACTATAAGCAAGACACTGCCATATATATTGGAAATACAGTAATCTGTATTTTGGACATGGAGACAGATATAGAATAAAGTCAACAGGAAAATATATAGTCCATCTGGCCCTTTTTTCAAGAGCTGAGAGGGAGATAGGTAAATTTAGAGATAGGTAGATATGATTTTAAATGTGGTAGTCTGGGAGAGATTCATTAACAAAATGAAACTTTTAAGCAAATACTTAAAGGAAGCAGGGGAGCAGGGCTTGAGTTTAGGGGAAGAACAACCCAGGCAGAGTAAACAGGAAGTACAAGGTGCTGGGGTTTGAAAATGCTGAGGCTGTTCAAGGGTCAGCAAGAAAATCATTAAGGCTGTGGTGGGAAGGGAGGTGAGGGTCAGGGAGGTACAGCAGGGTGGAGTTGTAATGACTTGATACACTAATTTAAATTATTAGACTTTTGTCCTGAGTGACATTGGAAAGCATTTTAGAATTTTGACCCTAAGCTGACAAAATCTGATTTTAGTTCTCTAAAGGATCACGCTATTAGATCTGTCAATAATTAAACTTAGCAGGAGGACAATGAAAGGCGCTAGAAAAATTAGGAGCCATTGTCACTCTAGGCAAAAGATGATGATTCCTGGGATCAAAATGGTAATGAGAGAGAGGATAAAAAATTCCCCACTTTGGAATGTATTTCAAAAGTAGAGGTGACTGAATTTTCTGTCATATTGAAAAAGGAGCATGAGAGATACAGAGGAGTTAATGCTGACTCTGATTTTTGTATAGTGATGCACAGAATAGTGTAAAAGAAGTAGATGTTTGGGGAAAAGGGAGAAAAGGATAATGTCATTGGGTTTGAGGTTCCTTTTGGATATTCAAGCAGAGGTGTCATATAAACAATAGATATGCAGTCTGGAATTCAGAGAAAAGGACTGACTGTAACAGATGAATTAATTTGAACTATGTTGGTAATTTCTAATGGTTTGATGTACATATGTATCATATAAAATCCACAAGACTAAATAACACCACCAAAGATGAGTTTGGATAGAGAAAAACTGGAGTATTCTAATGTTACAAGGTCAAAAAGATGAGGAGATTGGCGGAAAGGGGGATGTGGGAGAGAAAACTGCCACCACTTGAGATGGCTACACGGGGAGCACTGCCCCAGGACACAGATTTCAGTTAGACCAAGTAGATAAAGGGGACTTTCAGAGAAAACCTTAAGTATTTACTGGGTTACATTGATGACTGACTATAAATTCCAAACAGTGCAGTGGGGTGATTTCAGGAGTTAGGCAGGAGTGGAAGCCAAGTAAAGGAGATATACAGAGAGGTATAAACATTATTTTGTAGGAGGTGAGGGCTGAACTAACAATCTTCAAGCTCCACTTGGAGTGACATAGTGGTAAATATAGTAATGAAATTAGTCCTATGGGTTTCAAGGTGAAGGTAGGGATTGGAGAGGTTTTTAGACAGATGGGGGTCAGGACAGAAACATGGAAAATCCTGGGCACAGTTCATGTCTACTACCAGTGGTACAAAGGCTACTTACATAGGTCAGGGTGACTAAGACACTTGGTTACTTTTAAAAACTGCTCACTTGAATCAATAGCACAGATAACAATTTCTCAAATTCTGAGGGAAAAAAATCTGATATGCTAGGAACCACTTCAAACCTTTTACCTTCTCCACAGGTGAAATCTTTGGTTCTAATCCAACATATTCCTGCAGGAAAGAAAGAAAGTTAAGTTTGCTTTAGTCTTGAAAAGAAATTAAGAGATGCAATGCTTCTTTGAAACATTTATTAATCACTTATTCTTTACTCCACAGATGGAAACTTCTTATGTAATGGACCACCTTATAGTTGGTGCTCAGTACAAACTAAAAAAATGCAGTCTTTCTGACAAAATGCTCTCTGCCCAAAATACAAATCTCATGTGTTCAAAGAATAACACAAGTTACCCCAGATCCTTCCTCTTTAGATATAATTTATACCATTATAATCAGTAGAATTTCTCACTTCATTACTTTAAAACTTTTTAACTCCATTGTAATTTATCATTCTGTGTAAATGGAAGTCATGGTTCATACTGACTTAAGCTGCAATAGACGTGTTTTATTGAGCATTTGCTATGCTCCAATCACCAAGCTAGAGAGGATGCTATTTACCTCGGCTGATCCTCAAATATGTTGTGAGATATTATTCCCAACTCATAGGTATGGAAACTGAAGATTACTGACATTTAGTTGTTTGCTTAAGGCTCAAGAAAGTCACAGAGCTGGGATTTGAAGCTATGTTACTTGGAATCCAAGTCTTCATTCTTTAGAGTGAAGAAATGTTGCCTCACACTTTTTATGTTCATACTGAACTGGGCACCACAAAGTAATTCATTTAGTTGACGGTTTGATCAACTGATTGAGCGATTCAGTCTATTGTTGGAAGTCAATGTTAATAATTTAAAAACACAAAATGGGAATCAAATATACTTACCAGGTTGAGTGATTCTGTGCAAATCACCTACCTTTCTGGATCTTAGTCGAAGAACGAGAACTGGATTCACAAATGTTTACAACCCATTTCACCCTCAAAAAATCCTCAAATAGTTAAAAGGAACATGACTCTTTAGCAACACCAACCAATAAGCCACATGAAGTGCTGAATGCTGTCTGCTTTTTTCTCGATCCTTGAACACCAGGTCTCTGAGTTGCACCGGGTGGTGTGCTGATTTCCACACCTGCCAGGACACACCAGCAGGATGCATTTCCTGACCTCAGGATAGCTAGTGGACTGAGACAGTACTACAAATTGATGACTATCATGTGCTATTTTAATTATCTATCCCCAAGAGAGAGCATCGTGTTCTCATTTGCCTAGACTATGTGATGGTAGTTTATCCCGCTTACACTGTAATCCATCAGTCAGTCTGCATTAATAGTTAATAAATTGGTCTTTAATGGCAAAAGTAGAACTTGAGATTAGATCTTTCTATTTTCATAATTATTTATGTCAGTAATTTTGCACATCTTCATTTTAGTGCATTTTTTAACTGATTCCTCAGCCTGATTTTCCTCTGATTATTATTCTCCATTTCTTCCCTCTTTTTAAATATGATAGGAACGCCTACATTACAATAAAATTTTAGAGTGATATTCCACTTGATTCTTTCATCAAGTCTGGGATTAGTCAAAATAACTAATATTACCACATTCCCTGGAAGAGAAAACAGAGATTGAACTAGTTTAAATAATCTGTTCAAAGTCAAACAAGCTTACATTTAGCAGAGGAGTTAAGATCCTTTGTCTGCTTTTCCTCTAATTCATGTGATAAATACACATTCTAATAGGATTGCTACAATGTTTACACTGTTTGAAACATACATAAGAAGTATTCAAAACATTCAAGTCCAACCTGTAAATAAATCAAAGGAGAAATCACTTTTTGATGCATTTTCCTGGTTACCTCTATCCATGCGAATTTATGCAGACAGTAGATTTGATCTAGCAAATTTACAGGTTTACCTTATTTCCTGAAGAAAACATCCTGTAAGTACAGCTCCTTCATATGTCAGTGAATCTCGAATCAGAAATTCACTTT